GGATTCAAGAAGGCTGGAGATTCAACAAGGCTGAAGATTAAAGGCTCCTCTAGAGAGCCTTGAACTTCCCCAGGACTAAGCGAAAAACAAAAAGGTCAGTTCCGAGTACTACCATACTTGCCATGAAGCCAATTGTTCAAAAAGCACAGAGTATACATACTTGCAGCATGAGCCAAGTCTGCCTGGGAATGTGCCAGGACATGGAGACTGATATCCTGGAGCTCGTAGAAGAGGTGATCTTTGTTCGACGTGTAGTAAGATTTGTCATGAATGCTTGCAGCCTCGGGCACCCTACACGCAATTCCAACAGTTAGCACCACGTTTCTCTTCAACAATCGCGAGATCACCTGCTAAAAGCTAGACGAATGTGATACAAGGTGTCTATACATACCACGTGATAAAGACTAGCTTGCTTCGCTGGCCATCGCCAGCGGGAGAGTCGTAGGTGAAGTCTACGACAGCGTATCGGGCTGTGTCGTCCTTGAAGAGAGAGAGGAATTCGGGATAGTCCTTGTATTTGCCGGACTCGGCGACAGTGATCTTCTTGTCGTGTGCAGAGGCTTCGTAGATGACGTAGTTAAGGTTGTCGGTGCCTTTGACCTCGTCGAATACCTCCTCGCATTCGGGGGCGATGGTTGCAAATTTTGTCATGGTGGAATGAGTGAAATGCTAAAAGGGAGAAGAGGGGAAAGTAGGAAAGAGAAAAGAAAAGGCCAGGGACCTCATGGGCTGATACTGTGTCATACAATGGGAGATCACCTGGTTTACCCCATATTATTGCGGGGAAGTAGATCATGACGTACCAAAAAAATTCGTAGACAACATACACCTGGACATACATATATTACCAGCATCCTGCCAATTACGTTTGAAAGGGAAAGTACGAGAGAACCCTTTATTTCTTTGAATGCACAAGTATCGATTTTCAGGAAGAAAAAGGAAAGACAATCGGGAGTACATATGGATCAGGCAAAATGCATCCTCTCCTGGTAAACGTTCAGGTCTTTATTGTGAATGGGAAAGTAAGGGTGAAGGTATAAGAATTGGAGATAAATTGCCTTTTCGCAACTGGATGTTGTCCAGCCATATTGCAGCTAGCAGGTAACGTAACTGCACTTTTTTGATGCTTTCAGTGACTGCATGACCTTCAAAGTAATCAAATAGGACCATGAAATTTCTTTTACGATTTTCTCTTGGGGGGTGGGGGGCGGTATTGACATAACTAAGTACATGTATATATATCCATGGATGTAATTGCTGGCCTTCCCAAGGTCATCGTGATACATCGTGACTCATTCTGGTTCATGATGACCCCCAATCAACACCTATGACCAATCCCAGGTAATCCTGACTAAACATTGCTCTTGACACATACAAGTTCTATCATCGTAAGATTATTCATGTGCTTGTCTCACTATGATGGAGATCTGGTAACAGTGTGGTTGTTCTGGGCGGGATGCGGCATACTATGAGGACAAATCGATCTGGGTAATGAATATAATATTATTGTCACTGTCTTTTGAACTGAGTATAAATCAGATTAAGATATCCCTTGTAGCTGGCATGTAAAATCGAATATCTCACCCGAAACACACGAAATGATTGGTATATATAATGCAAGAGAGGGAGATACTGCAGTAAGTGATTGGTCTGATCTTTTTATTTCATGTGAAAAGTAAAAGGCATGACGAAAGAAACCCATTTGAACCAAGAGATCACATTGCTTTTGGTGATTCTCTTATATGATGCAATTATTTTTGTCGACATCGTCCGAAAGCCTTCCATTACTGTCACTGTTACGATCTCAACATGGACTTTTTTATAGCATACTAACTTGACACTGAAATTTTGAAAATATTAGGAAAGAATTCTAAAGAAAATACATATTCTAAGCCCCAATTTCGATGACCAAAACCCAAGACATGCCAGCCCCAACGCCCAAAGTCCCCATAATCAACCAGCCCTCGGAGCAACAACCACATCCCTCACAAAGGAAAACATCTCGCGTGGCTTATTCACAAAGACACTATGGCCAGCCCCACGGAATAAATGATATGACACACCACGCTCCATAGTCCAGGTACCCGCAGCAGCAGCAGTGGGAGTGGCAGTCGAGAGGGTGGTAGCCACTGGCGTATGCTCGAGCAGGAGCTGTTTGGTCGCCGACGGCGCAGCATTATCAGCAAAGAAAAGCTTCTCCGGCTTCTGCGCAAAGCCCTGCGCACCATGCCACGTCATATTCTGCAGCGACAGTTCCGCGCCAAAGTGATTGATCACCATATCCCACTCGCCCGAGTAGATATGGAGCGAGATATTGTGGTTGGTAACCAGAGACGGGAGGATGAAGTACTCCGGCGGCACGGGGGAGGGTGTTGAAAGGAGCGTGTTTAGGATTGTCGAGTTGCATGCGCTGTAAAGTCCGCTGTTATCGACGTGGAGCGCGGCCTGGACATCTGCGCGGCCGAAGTACTCTACCATCAATGGGAGCTCTGAAACGGCGCTGCAGTCGTGGGATATGTCGTAGATGTCAAAGCAGCCCCGCGTTGTGCGGTCGGTGGAGATGGTCGTTAGGTAGTCACTTGCTGTAGAGAAGACGGCGCAGGGTCCGTAGCAGGTTGAGTTGAAGATTGAGGTGCGGACTTCTTCCGGGGTTGTGGGTGAGATGTCGCATGCGGCGTTGACGGCGCTTGTTAGGTCTCGCCGTCGGAGGTTGAAGTACTCTGGGTTTCCGGGGATATGGATCTTGGCCTGGGGAGGGTATATGGAGGATTCTGCTAGCACGGCGTTGAAGCCGCAGGTCTTGTCTGCTTCGTCGAAGACAGATAGAACGTCTTCGGGGATTTGAAGGAGGCCCAACTGTGACCTGATGTATTTGCCCATTGCGACGGCTGCCATGGCTGCTCCATTTCCCCAAGATCCATCACCGAGAGACATCGAACGCACGTTGAGAGGCAGGGAATTTTTGCCCTCGAGAAGCTCCGATGCAAAATAGGGTATGTAGATGCCTGCATATGACTCCCCCACCAAATGGATCTGTTTTGTCTGCAGGTGCGGGAAGTATTCGAAGAAGCCACGCAGCCACTGCGTAAAGTCCGTCGTTACTCGGTCATTGTCCTTGACTGGGTAAGGGAAGCTGGCCGTGGAGAAGCCAGTGCCGACGGGTTGGTCAACGTAAAGCACATTACCCAGCTTTGTCCACGAGTGTGGATTCCGAACAAATCGAGTTGAATTGCCATCGAACGTAATGGGTCCGTTACCGGTCGTCAGACCTATCAAGGATGAGCAACCAGGGCCGCCATTGAACCAAACTATGCAACCTTGTTAGCGACCGCCTTTGCATGCCCTTTCCCATTCAGACTTACTGATCAAATTGTCATCATACGCTGGCTGTTCTGACTGGAATAGCCAAAAGAAGATCTCATTTCCATCTTCTGTTCCTGGAACCGGAAGGCGACCAGCCCAGCTGGGTGGGAGGTCCGAAACGCCCGGCAAGGAATGTACTTCAAACCTTGAGGGCTTGTATGAAGCAATTCGTCTTGAAAGGAAAAATCCAGGGGCTGTCCATAGAACATGAAAGAAGTATAGCAGTGCGGAGATATTCATGATTGGAATGCTTTGTGTGGCTATGATGATCCTTCTTTTGGCAGATAGTCGTGATATTGTGCAGTAAAGATCTAGGATGATCATGCAGACAATATTCCACGTGGAAATCATGTTTCCTTTTTGTCTTTTCCTTTTTAGACATGGTGACGGTTATTGAGCTATTGAGCGGGCAGTTGTTGAGCCAGATTTGGGTGTCAATAAGGTCAGTGGGGTTATTGAGGCCAAAGACATGGCCAGTGGATCTGGGAGATCCACGGAGTTCATATCCGTCTATAAGCAGTCGATGCCTCCTGAATCACGGTAATTTTATTCAGATCCAAACTGAACCTGAATATCAATTGGTGATTGTTAAGTGGGTGAAGTAGGTGAAGTATAGGGTTGCCAAGGGATGTGGGGCCTTGCTTATAAGGCAGTCAGGCACCAAGGCATGAACCAAAAACATTCTGATCTCGGCGAGAGGGGCCCTGCTTCATCTCTCCTCGATACTTCGTAAGGAGTACGGAGTACTCTGTGCACACATCTCTGCCAAGCTGATACTATGTACGGAATATGGAGTACCTGGTAATGCGCAAGTCGACTGCATCCAGTGGTTCCCCGAGAAAAGGAGACTCTCACGTGGCCAGTGCTGGTTTCAAGGTTCAAAGTGAGGCGACTTAGGACTAACCATCCCCTTTTTTTCCCAGAAGCAACATCAAATTGCAGATGCAAATCCAAATCGGAAATGGAAAGATGTGACCATGTTCGAGATATACCCAGTAGTCGGGGAGTCTGCTCGCGGGTAGCAGCATAGGAATGTCTGGTTGCGTCCACCCGAATCCGGTGTAGATGGATACACTCACTATATCAGTTCATCCCGGTCGCTTTGCCAACTCCTTTTCTTTCTTTTCTTTTTTTTTCGTCCTTTGATTTGTCCGGTGCACCTTTTGCTCTCGAGATTTGGACTTGTTTGCTCTGAGAGTATACACTGAAATCCCTTTTTGCTTTTCTGCTTTGGGATTTCATACTCTACACAACTCTTTGTCTTGAAATTATATTCTCTTTTTAATCGGATTCTTATACACCTTTTTGTTTCAAATATTCTAATTTCCACCCCTTTTTACCTTCCTCCCTATCTTGCACCCCTGATCGGAAACCACGAGGCGATCGACGCAGATCCAAGCAATCCTCGGCTCCACAGGAATTGACAGCTCACTTGCATCACTTTTCGGTGACTGCGGATTGGCTGCCTGCCTGAGGCAAAACAGGGGGTTATTAAATTTGTGAGTGGGAGTTGCATAGGGGCGTATTCGCCTTGTCCTATGCTTAGGTGCATGGCATGGTCTCGCCATTGCCACCCCAAAATCTTCCTTTTATCTGACTGTCTAAGCAGGGGAGGTTCAGATATATCGTGATTACCGATGGATCTACAAGGCACAAAAGAAGCCCGGACACAGGAGGAAGGCGAAGGCCCTCTAGAGGCATATGGTGCTGGAGGTGGCCGTTCTAAAGAGTATCACAAGAACGAGGGGCGAGATTCTCACAATCATGATGACCGATCTTCCATTCATCCTCTCCGTCGTCGTCAACAACCCTTCGCCTATCCCCATGGAGCTCGACAATCTGCACCGCCGGTACCAGCTGCTGTCTCTCGGCTTCGAGAGCCCTCCCCGTCACCGGAAGCTATCAGTATACCCCAAGAGTTGGGACTAGGTCCCCGCGATCAGCGCCTATTGCGCAAGGCTCGGCGATCTCCCCCGGTTACGAAGAAAACGCTCAGCGAGCTTGATCTGCCCTGTATCATGAGCAACATCAACCTCCGTATGGACGCCAACTTCGACCGCGACCTGCACTTTAAGCCTGACCTAGACGGGGAGAAGGGCCAACGCAAGCGGAAAGAAGCTGCGGATTATTGGGACTCTTTGGCTGCGGAGATTGCTATCTACTCTTACCATGCTGCGACTACTGATGCCACCACCGAGGAAGTCGAGTCGAGTGATGGTACTCGACGCACCTTCGATCCTCGTTTGCCCGCATTGTTCGAGACATTGCAGGACGTCATTAAGACCCTCGTTCCGGAACGGGATCACCCAACAATCATGCAGAACCTCGAAGTCCCATTACTGATGCAACAAATACGCAAAGGCGTTCTCGACATGCTTACGCTGGCGAAATGGCTGGCGAAACTCCTGAAAACACATTGCGCTCCGATGCGAGACGAGTGGGCAGATTCCATGGTCGAGCAAATCGAAAAAGGTTCACAGTCTCAGGATCCCCGAGAGATTGTCAACGGTCTTCGAACATTGTTCTCTATTCTAGAGGCGATGAAGTTGGTATGTCACATATAAACCCTTCTGTCTAGAAATATTTCGAACTAATCCGTGGCTCGATAGGACGTCGCCAACCATCAGATCCGAGCATTCCGTGTTCTACTCATCGAAGACACAGTCCCCTTCCTCCAAGAATATTTCCAAGGCAAAATGAACCGCGGCAGTTTCCAGGTCGAACCCGCCCGTCACTGGTATCTGTCAGTGCGCGAGCAAGCCCGTCGAGATGATGCAAACGCAGAAGCCCGAAAAACAACCCCAACCGCAGAAACAGAAGACACTCTTAAACCCCTTGAGGCCCTATTTCGCGGAATCTCCGCTCAACTCCTCCAATTCAGCCCGCCCACCGACTTCCCCGAGACCTTCCTCTTCGACTCCGAGCGCCTCTGGCAACTCCGCTCAACAGTCCAAAACCTAATCAACCTCGACATCGCCTGGTACATCTTCGAGTCCTACGTCAACAAGCACAAGCGGTATCTCTCCACCCCAGAAGAAACATACTCCACCTTCCGGTCGCGCCTCTGGTCCCTAATGGAAGACGGCATGGACCTGGAGAACCGCATCGCGGGGAACCCAGACAACAACGACGACGATCCCGACCACCGCGGCGGAAAGCGCTGGACGCAAAATATGCGCTGTATTGCACTGGAGATTGCCCGCTTTGCCTGTGCCGCGCTGCAGCTCGACCCAGTCGTCGCAGACGAGGTCATTGTTCCCATCGAGGAAGCGCTCGAGTGGCATCTTTCCAACGAGTCCGACCTCTTCGTCTTCTTCCAAAATAGCATGCGTGGCAAGATCCTGGCTACCACCCTGACGGCGGCTCGTAGATACTTGCCGCTGTCGCCCTTGGCAATCTGTGAGTCCCAGCGGGCTCCAATGTCTGCCGCTTTGGGTCCTGCTGCGCCGCAGACTGGGACTGCCGGTGCGTCTGGGTCAGTGAGCACTTCCTCGCTGGCGCTGACGCCGCAACAGTCGGATATCGAGCGTATTGGGATGCGTCTTGCTCATATAGGTGTGCTGCATTGGCGCGTTTGGGCTCCGCTGTTGTACCTCCGAGATGAGATTGCAATGGTAGAGCTTGAGCAGCCAGCATTGGCATAATTTGCTCTTTGGTCTTTACTTTTGCTATTTGGACTTTTGGTGTTGGCTATTGTTTACTGCTCTGCTGTCTCTCGAAATGTTTTGTTTGACTTGCTTTTCAGCGCCTTCCTTGCATTTACTGCTTATTGGGGGGAGTTTTACTATTCACACCGTTTTACTGACACAAGTCTCGGTGTTATATTTCTGGGAAATAGAAGGCGCATATAATTTCTATTTGTTATATCAACTACTAGTAGAGGTCTAAGAAATGATAGTTCTGCTCTATCAATACAAACTTCCAAGGACCTTGGAAATAACCAAAAGTAACAAACTCAATCCGACCCAGTGCCACGGTAGCCGCGAACATAAATGGTCCGTGCACCGATCAGCAATCCACCTTGAATCCCCCATTTTCCAACATGCACCCAGCCTAAAATTGCCGTTACAGGTCTTCGGCAGAGCCAGGCACGGAATCCGAGATTTATTGTGCCCGTGCCCGTGCTTGTGCTTGTGTCGGAAATCAAGACCCCGCACCGAATGCCACCCTTGGCAAGCAACAAGCACGAACGAACCCCCAATGCGTCTCGCTGCAGCACTGTACTCCCCAACCCACCCTTGGCTCGCATGCTTGAAATCAGCACAATTGCAGCGCATCGCGCGGGCAACGGGCATCCAATCTTCTGGTACGAAGGGTGTTCTCATTGAGCGCATTGCAGCAGAGTTGACGTTGCATTCACAATCGCAGACGCAGTTGCAGTTGCAGTTGTCGGCTGTCGCGGGTGGTGTTGCAGAGGGTATCACTAGTAGTCCCAATCCCAACTCCAGTGGCAGTGCTTGTGCCAGTGCTAGTGCCACTACCAGCCTAAGCCAAGATCGACAGGTCGATCCGCGGCTGGTGTCCACAAAAACTGGCTCAACCAAAACAAAGACAAAGACCAAGTCAGCAGGCTTGTCAAAGTCAAATCCCGCACAACCATGGAGCATCCTCAGCATCGATATGGGGATTCAGAATCTGGCATTCGCGCATCTGCGAGTGCCCCGCTCTGGGATTCCAGGTGTCGGGATGGATGCAGCACACCCCCAACTGCCACAGTTAACAGCCTGGCACCGACTCGCTGTTTCGGAGATATCGAGTTTGAACCTAATACCCGGGGATAATATCAGCATAGTCGAACGCAGTGGACCAATCTCTGGGTCTGGTGATGCCGCAGACTCATCCCAAGCTATTCTCCCAATAGGATCAGAGAAAGACCTGCCCGTCAAGATGGCCAAATCTACAAAAGAAAAAGACTCCTTTTCTCCAGACCTCTACGCTGCAAATGCGTATACCCTAATCTCATCACTCATAGCTGCATACCGCCCCACACACGTGCTCATAGAGCGCCAGCGCTTCCGCTCAGGGGGCGGGAGTGCCATTCTTGAATGGACGCTGCGCGTTGGCTTGCTGGAGGGCATGCTGTACGCGGTTCTACATACGCTGCGGCAGGAGAGGGGCGGGGAAGTTGCTGATTTGGTTGTTCGGAGTGTTGAGCCGAGACGGGTAGTCAGGTATTGGCTTGAGGGTGGTTCTGGGATATCAGATCCAGGGAAAGGAGATGTGGGGGGAAAATCCAAAATCGAGGAAAAGGCGAAGGAGAAGAAACCCAATGCGCGAGAAGTGAAGAAGGCTAAGATCGATCTTGTTGGACGGTGGCTTTCTGCTGCGATGCGGAATACCAATTCTTGTCCAGAGACGGACGGGGCCATTAAGAAACTCGAGGCGGGTATTGCTGCCGACAGTAAGATCGTGCTCGCGGATAAATCTGAGTGTCCTGCTCTGCATGGTGTTGCGAGTGCGTATATGCGGAAATGGCAGGGCCAGACGCATACGTCGAAGAAGGGGAAAGGGAAGGGGTCTCGTGCCTTGAAGAGTGGATCTCGTTCTCCATTGCCTACATCCCCCCAGTCCGATACGGCGGACGAGGTGGCCGCTGTCGATCTGGGGAAACTCGATGATCTGGCGGATTGTTTGTTGCAAGGTGTGACGTGGGTTGAATGGCAAATTATGCAGGAGCAGATTGCGAGGGAAGGAGTTGAGGCGTTGGATTCGATACCGTAGTAGATATCAATGTTCAAATTAGTGCAGCCAGGCTAGATGATTACGGGAGGATTGATGCCGCGAGCTCTTCTAGGGATGAAGTTGGGTATTCGGATTTTGTATATTATCCTGCTTGATGTACATTAATATTCTGGAATGGACAAATGACATGAGACATCAGCTTAAAGCTTTACTATACTATATTTCCACATCCCTGTGTTGACACAGCCCAAGATCGACACTGATCGACAGGTCCGCCACGGGCCAGGCCTTAGTATAATTCTTCCGGATGGAGAGCCTCATGCACTCTATTTCTACATATCTTACAAAGGAAGCAGGGGACTTTCTTTTAAACAGGCAAAAGCCTCAAGTCAATTCAGATTCATTCCTAAGGATACCGAGATTGCTCACCCCAACGGCCTTCCATATGGAATGAAAAACATGAAGACAAAAAACAGCGCAAAGATCATTCGCAAATGAAGATCTGTAAAGATTAAAAGAGATGAATTTTGCTTTCAAACACAACGGAAAAGAGGCAAGACCCAGTCCTCAAAGCAGACGTGTCACCACCCGTTGAAATGATACGTGAGAAAATGTTCCGAGTCCAATGATCAATGGCTCAACTTCACATTGGAAAGTAAAAATGTAACGCAAGGAAATGTGACGCCAGAAGTATTGAAGATTGGGCGCCGCGGTCTAGAATTGAAGTTCGCGGCCTGCGAAACGTGAACAAGCAGGCAGGGAAAGCTTGGGCCCAAAGCATAATCCAGCATGACAAGACCATTGCAAGAACAAAAGAAGTCGAAAAGTGGCAAAAAATGGAGCGTAAATAAGAAGTGAAATTGAAACCGTTTGTACCGAAACTTGTCACGAAATAGGTACAATACCAGCACGCCTCTGCGCGAGTAGAAGGAAATCGGAACTTTCTCTCAGATCATCAACAGCCTCGCAACTCGCTGCCATGTGGAGGTGGAGACTCACCTCACATTAGCAGTGTGTTGTTTAGATGAAGTGGCGGCGCCAGTTCGCCAAGAAAGCCTTGCCAGTGGGGGTGCTGGTGGGCGAGGGCTGGCTGCTGGAGGAGGGGATGGGCTTAATGCTGGCGCTAGCGGAAGGAGTCCGGGTAGCGAAACCGCTGGAAGAAGGGGTAGGAGTGCGCGTGATGGGAAGGCGGGTGGAGCTGGTGTAAGGGCGGGTAGTGGACTGAGCGCTAGTCTCAGTAGAGGTGCTCTGTCCGCCCTCACCATTGCCGTTGCCGTTGCCATTGCCGTTGCCGTTGCCATTGCCATTGCCATTGCCGTTGCCCTGACCGTTGCCGTTGCCATTACCATTGCCGTTGCCATTACCGGGGGTCTTAGTCTCGGTAGCGCCCTACAGGAAGAATGTTAATTTTCGGTGTGCGAGTTGGGGTAAAGACCAGCACATACAGCAGTCACAGTCTCAGTGACGGTAGCAGTGACGGTAACGGCGGTGCAAGCACCAGAACCATTACCGGCCTCGCCGGAGGGAGTGGGAACCTCAACGATGGTGACGGTCTCAGTCTTGGTGCGGTTGACAGTAGAAGTACGAGTGCGGGTGATGTCCTCAGCGGGCTCGGTGGTCGAGGCATCAGAGCCAGACTCGGTCTATATCAAAGTTAGTTCACAGGTACAAAGCATAAGATAGATAGAACACATACGGCAGTGACGGTGTGCTGCCCAGTGGCGGTCTTGGAGATGGTGGTGGTAATGACGCTAGTGGAAGTTCCAGATGTCACGGTGTAAGTCAGAGTAACGCAGTCATCGCCAGGGACGTCAGTGCCAGCGGGAGCGGACACAGTGCTAGACAGGCCGGAGGAGGACTTGGTGGGAACACCAGTAGGACGAGAGCTGATGGGAGTGCGGGTGACCACAGGCTTGCTGCTGGAAGCGACAGGCGAAGAAGAGCCAGCAGGCACGGAGGAGCTCACACCAGGGATCGAACCGACCGAAGAGGAGGCAACGACGGAAGGAGCAATGGAAGGAATGGAGCTGGAAGCCACCGAGGGAGCAGAAGAAGACTGCACGGCAGAGGACTCCTCAGCAGGAACAGACACGGCAGAAGAAGAAGCCGTAGGAGTAGGCTCCGCAGCAGTGGGCACAACGAGGACGGTCGAGGTCGAAGCTTCGGCACCAGGGGTGACGGACCGAGCCTGGACACGACGAGCATGGAGACCCTCGTGAGTGGCCTGGCCTACAGCAGCCAGAGCGGCCACTACGACAACGGAGAACTTGTTCAGGACAACCATGATGAAGTTATTGGTAATGACGGTGGATACCAAGAAAAGGTCAAGGTGGGATGAGAGAGATGTCAAGAGCAAGAATGCGCGAGCAAATGTAGGGACTGTTTAAGTGAGCGTGTGAGGAAAGAGCGACAGAGCAAAGTGCGAAATCAATTCGCAGGGAAGGAACGTATGGCTTCTCACAGAGAAGGAAAGAAGAAGTCAAGAGATACCAGCTTGAAGAAGGAAAGAGGAGAGTAGAAGAGAGAGAGAGCGTAATTAACTCATTTCCTTAATTTCCTGAAATTAAATTATACATATCAATTTTAATTTAATATTATATCTCTCCATACGAGGACTCCGTATCTTAAAATCAATTTCATTTAATGTCGGTAATACCGGTGGATCTACGGTATATGGGGTCTCCGCTGTCTCAGGAACGGGAGTCTCATTGGACCATTTGCATTTATCCCAAGCCCATGGACACCTGGGCTGTGACCTTTAATCTCACGTAAAAACCCATCTGACATTGGCGAAGCCTATGAGCCTCTTAAGCGACCTATTAAGGTAATGTGGCGTCGGGGTGTAACGGGCACCCTATCGACATCCCTATCATTTTCGATGGAGTGATTAATAGGGGCAATTGGGTCATTGAACTTATGTTGTGTACATTTTGTACTCTGTAGGGCATGTCGCCAAACGGCTTTTTAGGGCACGGACGTACATGCACGTGCATATCAGAAAAGTCTGACAATATCCGGGGCCACTTCTATGGGCCCGTCTACAATATATTTCCATGCAATGTACCTAGATGCCAATGGGGAAACATAGTCCCCGAATCCAGAAGATCATTGAAGAGGAAAATACGGCCAGGTCTCCGGGACTTTCGGGAAGTAAAGTTTTAATGTTCAGCCCCGATTCTCCTCGGCAGTAATAATACGGGATATACAATACAATGACAGACCATGGGTTTCACATAAATCAGGCTCCCACCCGTGTCCCAGGGTCCTAGGGTCCCCGCTTCCTCCATTTCTCGGGATATAAATTGGTCTTAGAAATAAGGATGGCATTCTGGACTCCACGGGGCAGTCTATCTATTTATTTCAATACATATAAAGATGAAAACGTACACAATTTACTCTAAATGCCGTCTGTACTGGAGTAGGTGGGGCATGTCGATCAAATCTGCAGTCCACGGGTGTATCGGATGAATCGATAAAAGAGGTCTAGGCTGGGCTAACCAGCACGGCCCTTAGCTTCCAAGGTTGGGTCGTTTGGTCGTTTCATTTCCCGTAGTACCAACGCAAGAATCCAGGCTTTAGCCCTGTTTGTGGAGGGCCTGGGATCATCCATGCCTAGCATCAAATTGGGATATTGACACGGAGAAGCTTTCCAAGATGAAACGTCCTGCTTGAAATTTCAATTGCCCCTGTCTCTACCCCTCCTCAACTCCGCAGACTGCTACATATCTAAAGATCATTAAGAATTGCTAGGAATTGCTCATAATTGCGCTGGGAGATCTCAATTCTGCGAACCATGGTGAATGCTGGAGCCATCTCCTGGAAACATCTCAAATCTTGGGACGTCGATCCCGATATCGAAGGCGGTGACGCTATGGTATCTTATCGTACGACCTGCATCTGTCCCGCATCACAACCTTGCCCAGGTGGAACCTTATAGATCACCTAGGCATGACGTGGAGTTAACAATATACAAGCATGTCCTCGTTCCAAGCCCTCCGAAGCCAGTATGCCTCACTGCTGAAGCGGTTTCTAACCTCGACCAAAGACTTCGAGGTCCTAACAACCATCCCACCCGACCACTCCGCAGAATCAGAGACACTCTATGTCTTAGATTCGTCCTTCAATCCCCCCACCCGCGCGCACCTCCGCATTGTCACCACGGCACTTCTAGAAAATCCCCAGCCCCGCCCTCGCGTTCTCCTTCTTCTCGCCACGCAGAATGCAGACAAGCCATCCAAGCCAGCTTCCTTCGAAGATCGGCTCGTGATGATGGAGCTGTTAGCTCGGGATCTCCGTGCCCACCTCGCATCGGCACCGGCCTTCGCCGCCTCGGGATCCACACACGCTGTGGAAACTCTCCCGTTGATTGATATCGGCGTCACAAAGAAGCCCTATTTCGTCGACAAGGCGGCTGCCATAGAGACGTCGGATTGTTACCCTGTGCCGCTGGAGCAGGTCCATCTTACGGGTTACGACACTCTGATCCGGATCTTCAATTCCAAGTATTATCCGCCCGAACATACCTTGAAGCCTCTGGGGCCTTTCTTGTCAAAGCACCGGCTGCGTGTGACTATGCGGCCGAGCGATGAGTGGGGCGGGAGAGAGGAGCAGCTGGGGTATGTGGCGGCCCTTGCTAGAGGTGACCGAGATGATGAGGGTGCGCGTAGAGAATGGGCCGAGCGGATTCAGCTTGTCGAGGGTCGTCTCCCCACTGACCAGCCCGTGAGTTCGACTAGAGCCCGCGAGGCGCTGCAATCGGCTCCCCACGACCTGGACTGGCTGGTTCCTGAACAGGTGCGGCAGTTTGTGCTGTCCGAACACCTGTATTCTGGAAATTCCAAAGTGTAGATACTTAGACGGGATAGCTACCGCGAGACTCCTACGGTCTATCCCTAACTTGTAAATGACAATGCATGGATGATTTCCTAAACCCATGTTCACCGACACCGAGACCTGAAGTCACCCACTTTTCAAAACGCACAATTAAACCACTTTTGATACATATATTGTACAAGACAGAGCGCTACACCAATGCGCCAACGCGATATTGGCATAGTTATGGGTTGTAACGTCAATCATGACGCATCCTCTTCCTCTTCCCTCTTACCTAGAGTGTACGCCAACCCACCACCGACCATGTTGACTAAAGCCAAACCCATAGTCGCACCGCGCACGACACCACGAACACCCAGCTTCTTCATGAATGGCTGTCGACGGCGAGCTGCGAGAAGCAGATACAGCCCGGAGAATGCCGCGCTGATGCCGGCAGTGTCCGTCTTGAAGCCCTGCAAGTTGGCATAGCTGGAGAAGATCAGCACAGGCGGAAAGAGCATTGGGAAGAACTGGAAGGGGCGCATGTGCTGGGCTGTGATCATGGAGGCGAGCAAGGTGGGTGGGAATGAGTTTTCTGGGTTGAGGAGCGACATTAGTGAGTGATCACTTGCGACATTGCTTGTCTCGACGGTTGGGCGATGACGCCAGGCTATTCATAGGTCACTTACCACCCCAGGCTCGGAAGCGCTGGATTACTGTCTGCTTGGTCTCTTCGACAGTCGAATCGTCCGCCATGGTGAGGTATTGAGCTTCGAAGCTGGACTTTGATGAATCGGGAAGACCGTTGGAGCTTTGACAGCCTAGAATTGGATTTGCTGCAGGAATATCAATAAGACAAAGGTACTTTAATTGAACCCAGTGGAAATGAGACCACTCACAATTGGATATCACCGACTTGCAGATGGCAGGTTTATCAGTTCGGCAAATGATCCATGGATGTTATCGCAATGTCCAAACGTTCCGATGCTTGGCAAAGACACCTAAGACCACGCTTTTTCCTCGATTTATGCCCGCTGAATCAGCCACATCTTGTCCCTCTGATTTCGTTGCATCTTGACCAGGCCGATATTTTACTTTGGCCGTCTCATCGCACGTTTGATTAATCTGCCAGCCCAACCATATCTCGTGCAGGATTGTTTCTCCTTTATCCGCGGTCCCACGCCACCCTACAACATCTGCTCTCCAGATCCTCTCGACCTCCCTCTTTCCTCCTACACTAGCAAATAAGTGCCGTTTAGGATCTGTCATATTTCCCTATAAACTACGGTTGCTATGCCCTCGGCTTCGGCATCTGGCTCTGACGCCAAACGCGGGGGTGCGACGTCGCGCGACCATCAGCAGGGCAACCAGGATCGCAAGTACACGGATGACCAGAAAGCTGCTGTGCTTCGGATTCGAAAATGCCAGCCTACAGCGTTTTACGAAATTCTGCTGGTCGAGCGCTCGGCAACGGACAATGAGATTAAGAAGGCGTACCGAAAACAGAGTTTGTTGACGCATCCCGATAAGAACGGGTATGAAGGCGCAGACGAGGCGTTTAAGAGTGAGCAATGAGCGACCCTGGCCCACCTCTTGACGTATTGATTCTTACGCGCGGTGGCAGTGGTTTCACGTGCATTCCAGATCCTCTCCGATGAGGAGAAGAAGTCCAAGTACGACAAATTCGGCGGCGATCCTGACAGTAGGTTCCAGCCCGGACCGAGCGCTTCGAGCGGCGCATCCCCCTTCAGTGGGTTCGGCGGTGGTGGATTCCCCCGTGGTGGTCCAAGATTCGACGAGGAGGTCTCGGCTGAGGAGATGTTCAACCGGTTCTTCAACGGCGGATTTGGTGGAATGGGCGGTGGTGGCTTTGGTAATATTATGCATTCCTCTGATATTTGTTTGACCTAAACTAATCGTGTGCTACTATAGGCGGTCCGCAATTCGTCTTCAACATGGGAGGCGGCCCAGGGTTCCGAGTACATCAATTTGGAGGCCAGGCGCCCCGTCGCCGGCCTCGCGCAGCAGCCACCGAGCAGGAAGCTCAGATTGATGCCCGCAGTTTCCTTCGCCAGCTTTTGCCGCTTATCATTCTATTTATCCTGCCACTCCTCTCCTCTCTCTTCTCTGGCCCCTCAACCCCATCCGGACCCTCCTATCGATTTGATACCCCCGTCTCCCCGCATACGCTCGGCCGCTCGACCCCGAAACTTAATCTCAATTACTTTGTGAATCCCCTCGATGTGGATAACTTTAGTGCCCGAAACTTCCGAGAGCTAGACGCGCGCGTGGAGGTGGAATACGTCAGGACACTGCGGAATGAATGTGACACCGAAGCCCATGAGCGGGAAAGGAGGTTGCAAGAAGCGCAGGGGTGGCTCTTCCCTGATGTGGAGAAGATGAAGAAGGCTCGTGCGATGGAGATGCCGAGCTGTCGGCGTCTGGACCAACTGAAGACGAAGGGGAGATATTAAATGCACTGCGGACTTTGGAGGCTTACACCGCATCTTTTTATGGCATCTTGTTCCTTTTTTGAGCTCTTTTTGCAAAAGAGCGTGCTCTAATATCATCAGCCCATCCACAAATGTGGCATCTATGGGAGTTTCAGTTCATTGGCTGTACATTTTATTTTCCCTAGAGTTTCGAATGCATTTAAGATCTTGGTGACTTTGTCTTCTTGGTTCTACCGTTTGATTTAATTGCCGTACTTGGTTTTCGTTTCTGATGTCATGTTCCGGTGTGAGATATATGAAGATATACATACGAATGTTTGTGGAGGTTGTGGCTATAAATCCGGTTATGGCCTGGCTTCTGGGTTTCAAATCGTCTGATATTTCAACATACAAAAGAATATACTCATAGAAAGGACTATAAGATGAATCTACCATGTTCTATTCATCTTTGGGCTCATGTATGGAAAAGTGACTTCGCAGGTACACAGTTGACATGAGGAGTTCCAGCGAATTGAGAAGTACCTCCCCTGTATCTCACACCCAACCGTGGACAATGAGATTTGCTTAGTCAAATTTGATCACGCCGCTGAACCTCGAATCAGAACAAAAACGAATCTCGGCGATCATCACGGAATCACAGACATCTCGTTCACCTTCTCCAGATTCTATACTCCATATCCCCCTTCGTGGCTTCGGAGCAGCCTTATTCCGTTTTCACGCCTCCTTATGATTCCCACACGGTCACGACAATATTGATATTCTGCCGACCCGATCCACCAGATTAGCGGTCTTGCCAACCTTTCCAAAGCGGCTTATTGTCTGACTTTCAGTCAACATGTCGGACACACTTTCCGACGCAGACAAGGTCAGTTACTTGTTGTGCTCAAATTATGAAGCCATCCCCGCCCCCGCAGTGACTCGAAGTCTGACATGTATTCTCGATAAAAAAAAAGATTCGCAACAAGCGACTTGCAAAGCTCTCAAACCCGGCCCAGCCCTCCGTGGAGGGCAACTCTGAATCGGCACAGAGTTCAGCTAACACATCTCCATCACATTCACCACTGTCCACTCAGCCACCGAGCCGCCATTTCGACGCGCCACCCACCCCGCAGCAGTCAGAAGGGAAGCGGATCAAGATCACACCGGCCGCGGCTACACCAGAGCGACCACAATTCGCCGCTCCCTCAGCACCGAGCACCCCTCCACCACAGAAAATTGAAAGCATTGAGGCCTTCGAAGACCGAACACTAAGCGCCGTGTTCAGAGCGACCCTCAAGGAAGAAGGGCAGCGTGATATTCATGGTAACCGCACATACTTACCCGGACTTCGGAGTGAACTGCAGGATGAGGGCCAGGATCTGCGCATCCAGGTTGCGGTTCTAGACCAAGCCCTCCTAGAGGCTGCCTCAAAGGCCGAGAAGCAGCGTCCCCTTGACTATCTGCTGCCATGCTGGAAACGCATCACAAAGCTGTCCAAGGGATTGAGGCGGACGGGAGATAACGACCCAAAGTATCAGGTTCTGTGTGAGGCGCGGCGCTTGTGCATGAGCTATTGTATCTTTGCGATTACAATGCCAGAGATGTTTGGGTTCGTTTTCCTGGAATGTCACTGCGCTGGCACTGGATACTGACTGTCTGGACTTTAGGAGCGAATGGTCCCCGCAATCATCGTTAGCCTCGTACCTTCTCATTGACCCTGAGGATGACAGAGGAATCGATTTCGAATTTATCAACGAGGCTGTCAGAAGATTCGACGAAGATGACTCCGTCAAGCCTGCTTTCATATCTGCTGTCGAGCAGTTGAGCGCGCAGCTTTCTTCTATGAATGTCAACGATGACTACAAGCCATACGCCATTGTAAGTCAAACGTCACAATTTCCTTGGACCACGTCTGACCAGTTTGCCCAGGCTCTTCGAAATCTTGTTCGCCACGGTTCCATCGCTGCTGCAATCACAGAATCGTCCATTTTTAATAACTCGAGGGACCCTGCTCAATTCGAGAAGGCCACTCTGCTGGGTCCGTGGTTCCGCCTCTCACCTCTGCAGGCTAACGTCACCCTGTCTTATTTCTCTAGTCCCAAGACCCGGGACCAGGCATACATTTCCAATGCCCAGCGATCGCTTCGAATGACACAGCAGATGCTTAGCTCTGATCTTCTTGATGTTATCAACCACCTCATCCGGGCCTCGAAAGAGGCTCGGGACCGTGTTTTGGATTGGTTCGCTACTGCTATGAACATCAATCACAAACGACGGGCGATGCAGGTCGACCCTGAGCAAGTATCGTCTGACGGCTTCATGTTCAATCTCACGACTTGTCTCGATCAGCTCTGTGAGCCGTTCATGGACGCAGCATTCACCAAGATCGACAGAGTTGATGCTGATTATCTCCACCGCAATTCTCGAGTTGACATGCGGGATGAGACCAAAATTAATGCCGACCAGCATGCTTCTGATGCTTTCTACTCCAAGAAGGTCGAAGGGACCTCGAACTTTATCACTGAGATATTTTTCCTGACTGTCGCCGCTCATCACTACGGCAGTGAATCACTGACGTCAAAGATGGAGCAACTTGAGAAAGATGTGCGACATATGGAGAGTACAATCACTAAATTTGAACTTGAGCGAGTTCGCTGGCTCAACAATCCGCAGCAATTGCGCACCTTTGATACGGCTCTGAAGAAGTACAAAGACAAGCTCGACCTGGGTATTGCTCTCAAGTACAGTCTCCAGGGTGTATTGTTCGACGAGCACTGGCAGGCTCGTTCCATGCTATTCATGCGATATGTTACCGTGTGGCTTCTGAGACTTGTCTCGGGAAAGAACTTCCCCAGGGAGCAGGTTACCCTTCCTCTTCCAGAGCAGCAGCCTGAGGTTTTCAAATGTCTACCAGAGTACTTCTTAGAAGACGTTGTCAGCAACTTCAAGTTTATCATGTGGTGCATGCCACAGATCATTACCGCCACACAGGGAGATGAGTTGGTAATGCTGTGCATCACATTCCTGGAGAGCTCCGCCTATATCAAGAATCCCTACCTGAAAGCCGGACTGATCTCCATTCTGTTCCGAGGGACCTGGAAACGCCCTGGTGGCGCCAGTGGTGTTTTGGTCGACCTGCTCAACTCAATGCCATTTGCCAACGAGCATCTCCTCCATGCGGTCATGAAATTCTACATTGAGGCAGAGTTCACGGGAACACATTCGCAATTCTACGACAAGTTTAACATCCGTTACGAGATCTTCGAGATCATCAAATGCATCTGGCCCAACACTCTGTACCGGGAGAAGTTGTCAATTCAGGCTAATCAGAACCTGGATTTCTTCGTCCAATTCGTCAACCTCCTACTGAACGATGTGACTTACGTACTCGATGAATCCTTCGGTGCTTTCAAGACTATCCACAACACTCAGACCGAGCTGAATACACAGGGCCACTCAATGGATGCCGCAACCCGCCAGCAGCGGGAAGAGCATCTGTCATCAGCGCAGCGCAGCGCCAAAAACTACATGCAACTGACTAACCAAACTGTGTCAATGCTCAAGCTATTCACTGACGCGCTTGCTGACTCGTTCACAATGCCTGAAATTGTACAGCGACTGGCAGACATGCTGGACTATAACCTTGACGCAATGGTGGGACCCAAGAGCTCGAACCTCCGAGTGGATAACCTGCAGGAATATGGCTTCAACCCCCGCGCTCTTCTCAGCGAGATTGTGGACGTCTATCTTAACCTGATCGGCAAGGAGAACTTCATCTTGGCTGTTGCCCGTGATGGGCGATCATACAAGCCAGCCAATTTCGAGAAGGCGGCTGATATTATCCGAAAGTGGTCCCTGAAATCCCCCGAGCAGCTCCGTCGCTGGAGTCAGCTGCAGAAGAAGGTCCAGGCTGCCAAGGAGGCCGATGAGCAAGCGGAGGAAGACATGGGCGAGATTCCTGAAGAGTTCCTTGGTATTTCCCCCTTATCTGGACACCGCTTTTTGACACCTGCTAATCTTTCTAGATCCTCTTATGTACTCACTCATGGATGACCCGGTCATCCTTCCCAGCTCGCGGATCTCTATCGACCGCGCTACAATTCGCTCGCATCTCCTCAGTGACCCCCACGATCCGTTTAACCGTGTCCCATTGAAGATCGAAGATGTGGTAGCTGGTAAGCAATTATCTTCTTTCCTTGATGTTCCACTACTAACCGCCTTTCCTAGACACTGATCTTAAAGGCAAGATCGAGGCGTTCAAGACAGAGAAGTTAGCTGGCAAACGGAGGGAAATGGTGCATGATCGGATGGACACATCGAATTAAGGAGGAGCTTTTTATGATTTAATTCGCAAGCTTGCTTGTTTAGGGGCATTTCCATTAGCGTTCACGGGACAGAATACTACACTCCGTTTATGTGGAACTATGCCCCGGGTTATTTACATGTGTGACCATTGGTTGAGTAGAAATCAAACGAACCCAGTCCTGTCGCTAATTCGCCCAATCTGTACAATTTGCCCGGGCTGTCATACCCTTTGTAGTTGTACGAGGGCTTTCGTTTGCATGACCGTGATTCAAAGTAATCCACTGCTTAAAATTCACAATTCACGCACAACTGGCCAGAAATTGTCCAGTTATTAGTATACCAAACAGTGTTTAATTTTTAAAAACACATAGAAGAGGAAAAGAAAGTAAAAGAAGAGGAGGAGGAGGAGGAGGAAGCAGGTGAAGTTGAAGCTTGTGTAGCTCCTTATCCGGGACCCACCGCCTTCCGCATCACAAGCTTTTAAGCTTCTTGTTTATCCTCCGCGATCTTCTTCTTCTCTTCAACTCTCAATTGACATGGGTGCCATTATTTCCACTTTCTGGGGAGCTCTGCCCTCCAGTGTAGAGCTCTTCCCTCCAACCCCGATGGTCTACACATCAGTTCTATGCTGCTTCCAATACTTTCCCCTGGTCAGGACCCTAAGCCCTAAAATACGTTATAAGACTAACTCGGTGTATTTAGATGACTGTAATTCAATGGATTTTGTCCTGGCATCCAGCAGGCAAAACCTCCTCAGAGTCCATCTTCAACATCCCAGGACGTATCGCCTGGTCTGCCATGGAGATTGTGGGCCCTATCAACTTGATATATAGCATGGTCACTCCATCGCCATATGCACCCTCATTCACTGATCTTCCCAAGCCCAACATTCTCATTGTAGCTCTGTACTGCATCCACTACTTCAACCGAGCTATCATCTCTCCTTTCTTCTCCGCCCCTAGCATGTCCCCAATCCACGCCGCCATCATGTCTTTCGCCATGATCTTCAATTGGTTCAATTCAGCCTGTCTGGCCGGTTGGTTGCGCGGATATACAGTCCCGACTATCCCAAACTTCCACACAGCAAGAAGCGGAAGTCCATATCCTCGCTCTGCGGTGGTGGATCTTCTCCCCACCGTGGGCGTAATCTTGTTTGTTATCGGGATGGCCGGCAACATCTACTCAGAGACAGCACTGTTCCGACTTAGGCGGGAAGAAGCCGAAAAGCGTGCTACCAAAAAGACAGATGATGAAGCTCCGGCGGGAGCCGAAGCACAAGGCAGCCGAAACAAGTTCCATAAGGTCTACGTCATCCCACCTTCTTCCCGTGGTGTCTTCAGATACATCTTGTATCCGCACTACGTCTTCGAATGGCTCGAGTGGATTGGGTTTGCTCTTGCTGGTACGGCGGTTGCCCCATTCTCCGCTCTCCCTGTCTCTGTCTCGGTGTCCTCTGTGGCGATCGCTCCCCCGCTGCGCCTTGCACCTTGGTTGGTGCCTGCTGCGTGGGCGGCTGGTAAACTTGCTGTGCCGCTGCCTCTGCCTGCTGTGGTGTTTGTGGTCAATGCGGTCACGAATATGTTGCCGCATGCGCGCTGGGGACGGAAGTGGTATGTTGAGAAGTTCGGGCAGAAGGCTGTTGCTGGCAGGGGCGCTGTTGTCCCTGGGTGTGCGTGGTTGTGAAATGGAGGGAGCTTCCGGTGGCTTTTCCCCTCTTCTTTTATTTCTATCTTTTTCGTCACTAGCTTCCAGGCCTTGATATCCAAAAGCAAACTACCTTTCTGTGTGGCTGAAGTTGAATGGCTTAGTACATCATTTCTGAGACAGAAGAGAAGCCCTTTCTTTCGACCATCAAAGGGAAAATAGCACGCCAGTAGACCCTAGCGCAGTACGAAAATGAGATATCTGCCCTATTTTCGAGTAGGACATGTAACAAATGGGTAATGGTCACTTTTATTTGCCGTGAATACGGACGGCGCCTGTAAGCCTACGTACCCTTTGGGTATCAATATAAATAAAATTGCCACCTAGATAACGCCAAATGATACAAAATCAAACCCTATCCTCCGCGTTGACGCGCAAGCCACTCAGCGATCCCATCCTACTCAACTTCGACACAGGGGGAGGACTGGGCGGCAGCTCCGGAGGATTCTGCTCACGCGAAACAATCACCTCAGTTGTACGAACGATCCCGTCACCATGAACAGGCAATATCCGCTCCTCACTGGAATTGCTTCCTCGACTTCCAGCATACGTTGCCGAGCCCGCCGTGGAAGCAATCTGGGAGCGTTGAATGTTCGGGTCAGCGTCGTACTCAACGATGCTGAGATTGCCACTTTTATGTCCTTGAGATTTTAGCGGTGGCCCTCTTGATCGAGACATCGATTGCATTTTATATTTCTTGCTGCCGAGGTACTCGCGGTTTGTTTTTGACTGCGAGCCGTATGTGCCGAGGAATCTCTTGAAGAGTGGTTTGAGGGTTGGGAGGGTGCCGGCGATGATACCTGTGTTGCATTCCGTGCTGTTGTTGGTTAGTATAGGGTCTCAAGGTGTTCTTTGGATGCTGATAGGATAGGTGACGTACACGACCCAGATTGTTAGGTTCGTATAATCCCAGAGGAAGTCGCCGGTTCGGCCGTAGTTGGAAACAATTGAGAGCTTGACGAAGGCGGCTGCGCAGGCGCTGGGCAGGTAGTAGAATGATCAGCATGGTTTATGATAGGATTGAATCGGAAGTCACCCACAAAATTCCCAGGCCCAGGATGCAGATCAGAGAGGCTTTTACTCGGCGATTGACTTGAAGATGACTGTCGATTATTGTATTAGTTTTTCGTCTGAAAAGCCGATATCCGTGAAGCATACCGTAGCATAAAGACCGGTAGAACCGCGAAGATCAGATCGGTCAGAATATTGAGTGCTATTCGAGTTAGAATATACTTAATTATAGCCAGACAGTATCAGTTTCACCAGTGTTTGTATAGCTCAGAGTCAAAAGTTGTTTGGGAGTAAAGCACTTCGATTTCACCGAACTATCCCAATTTGACCGGATATCCTGACATTGAAAGATAAGAGTCTGCAATGAATGAATCTGTTAACTACTGGCCGCGATCGAACGTGGGAGATAAGTTACGCACCAAAAAGCAGATTGCAGTGTAGAGCGTCATGAGGACTGCCGTGCCGGGTTTGTCAGTACTGGGCCACAGAAAGAGAGACAAAAAGCGTTTACACACCAATGACAACCCAGATAAAGATCTTATACCCTTTCCGGGGCGCGAAACGAAGCAAGAACAGCCCAATTGATACCTTCACCAGGCCAATAGCCCACATGTAAAGACCCTGGGTAGCATAGTTCAGATGCATTGCCGTTACGGCCGTTTCTTGGACGTAGACCATATGCCTGCCTGCACCATATTTCACCTCGGGGACGATAATGGCGAATCCGCAGGCAGACAGTAGCATCGTCAGAGCCATAGTGTAATCATCCCACCCGACATTGCGAATAAGGCATATGCGCACGTAGAACCTAGCCAAAACGGTGATTAATGCGGCGGCAGTGGTGATAGCCGTGGCTATAATAATTCTAGGTCCCTGGTTAACGTCTGGGAGGGTGATGTCTCCGCTATGAGGACTGTCCGACATGACTGTCGTAAGTCATGGGAAGAATCGAACAGGGATTATACTAGGGAGGGCAAATTGGGGCAGGGCCATCAAAAAAGTATTAGCGGATTTAATCCATAGTGCATCGGGTAATAATTTTAAGATTACATTCAGCTCGAGGTATTGTGGCTTTTGAAGCCAAGGAAGGCAAGTGGCTTAAATTTCGTATGGGGTTTCCATCTGTTCTACTCAAGGCCATAGACCAATTACCTGTTCCTATCGTCTCTTTCGAGTTCGGGTCGACAATCTCCTTTCGGTACTTCACAAGCGACGGTGGACATAAAATAAGACACAAAGCCATTCTCAGTGTCCAAGCCGAGTCCAACTCCAGCATGAGAAGAACGTTTTATCCCAATAAAATACGTTCTAGAATAGGCCTCGGTCCCGAGAGCCTGGATACCAGATTGTCATTAGAAACTTGGCCAATGAGCGGATACCATCGGTAAGAAAGGCACCTGAAGGGAGATGAGCCTCGGATGTAGAGGAAAACTGCATTGGTTTACCCAGCTAGGGCACCGGAGTGTCTCTCCGAGATTGGCTGACCGAATTCAATTTGGGATGTCGATGTGATTGGGTCTGTCGCTTAGCTGAATTTGCCAAGTCGCCAAGGAACAAGGGGGCCACGAGGTTGCTTTTCTGGTGATATCGTCGCTTCAGGTTTATTATACAACTTGGTTTCTTCGATATTTGCCGTGTGTATCTTGGATGATCTCCAGATTATAAAGGGTCGGTCCGTGATTGACCCATGAGAGAAGATGGAAGTGATCGTCTGGGAAATGTCTGTTGGTCACATCGTAATTTGCCCGTCTGTCCTGGCAGTGGAGAAAGCGGAACATGGCCCGGTGCCCTAAATGGTCCCAGCAGAAGGGGATCTCGCGATTATGGAGACTTATGCAGGAAAAAAAATATGATAGTGCTGGCACTATGCTTTTAGTTCGAGTCAAAAGTCCGAGATAGGGGTGACAGATGCATTTAGCCTTTAAATCGACAATCATGCCCGGATTCCTTCGTCTTGATCAACACTTCTAAACTCCTGGTGTGGAACTTCCTGGTCTTTCAGAGTTCAAATACTCAACTCGCCGCCATGGTTGCTCTTTCCGTTCTAACTCTGGGAGCTTTGTTGACACAGGCGTGGGCTATGCCCGCTGCCACGGAGAGTGCCGTTGCGAGCGCTGCCACTCCCACCGCTGCATCCACCTCCCTGCCGGTCGCTGAGTCCCAGCTTGACGATTTGGCTGGGTTGGCATACAACAGCAGCATGGATAGTGTCTCGAGCGACTCGGACATTGAGAAGCGTGGTGGTTGTTCGTTGAACAGTCTGCGCATTCGTCGCGATTGGAGGGCTTTCTCTAGCACCCAGAAGAAGTCCTACATCAAGTCCATCCTTTGCCTCCAGGAGTTGCCCTCGCTCACTCCCTCCGATAAGGCCCCTGGTGCGCGGTCCCGTTACGATGACTTCGTCGCTACTCACATCAACCAGACCACGGGTATCCACTACACTGGAACCTTCCTGGCATGGCACCGTTACTACATCTGGAACTTCGAAGAAGCCCTGCGCAACGAGTGTGGCTACATTGGCGACTTCCCGTAAGCCTAACCATCCTTTGCATAGCAGAATACCTAATCTCTAACGTAACCACAGTTACTGGAACTGGGGTGCTGACGCCGCCAACCTGGAGAAATCCCAAGTCTTCGATGGCAGCGACACCTCGATGTCCGGCAACGGTGTCTACACCGAATCCGTCGGCGACATCCAGCTGAGCCTGGGTACCTACCCGGTCATCCACCTGCCCACCGGTACGGGAGGCGGCTGCGTCACCAGTGGCCCATTCAAAGACTACTCTGTCAACCTGGGCCCGGTCGCGCTGATGCTGCCGGGAGGTGAAACCGAAAGCACAGCTAACCCGCTCGCATACAACCCCCGCTGCCTGAAGCGCGATCTGAGTTCCAAGATCGTCCAGGACTACGCTAACTTCACCGCGATCGTGGACCTGATCCTGCGCCACGACAACGTCTACGACTTCCAGATGAACATGCAGGGTGTTCCCGGAAGCGGCAACATCGGCGTCCACGGCGGTGGCCACTACTCCATGGGCGGCGATCCTTCTCGTGATGTCTTTGTTAGCCCTGGTGATCCTGCATTCTGGCTCCACCACGGTATGATTGATCGCACTTGGTGGATCTGGCAGAACTTGAACCCCAGAAAGCGTCTGAATGCTATTTCGGGCACTGGTACTTTCTTGAACGGCCCTCCTTCGCCTAACACTACTCTTGACACGCTCATTGATATTGGGTATGCGGGTGGCGAGACTGTTGCTATGCGGGATCTCATGAGTACCATCTCTGGTCCTTTCTGCTACATCTACCTGTAAACAGTGATGGTCAGTTATTGGCTGTCCATACCCTGAGCCCTGGAATCAAGATTGGACGCTTGGAACACGACATGAATGGCGGAGTGGCAGGAGCCATGTCTATATATAGGATAGATTGCATATAATCCATGATTTAGATAGACCTCGAGAAGTGAGTCTTAAAATGCTAGAAAGGGAAGCAACTTACATATCTATCCTCATGTAGAATAGCTCTATCTGATCATAAATTAGATTTAGGTCTAATTAAAAACAATAAATCCAAGGCCTATAGCCAAAAGAACTCACTATACCCTCCACCGCGAGAGCATCACAATCGGAACCCACAGCCAAGACAAAGGAAGTACAGAGCTCTGCGTGGAGGAATCAGGCTTCCCAGCACCATTAGCAACAGCGGGGTAAGGGTCCTGGCCATAAGTTGTGTTTAACGTGACACGAGCTTGGGCCGACCCAATTTCCAATCGAATCCACGTCTCAGTGTCATCTACGAGATTGCCTTCGTGGAGTAAAATCTGCCGTCCACCGCGGAGCAGATCACCGTAGCCGCCATACCCCGTATGCCGACCGTAGCACATATTGACCCCATTCCCGGTTAGATCGTGGTCGACGAGAGAGCCGTCCCATTTAAAGCACCTGCGATGTTCGGTTAGCATTTGAGTTCAAGTGACGATTATTGCCTAGGACGCGCATACCAATCATTTTGGTGATCGTGGCCGCTAAATCCTGCGATTAAGCCTTCGGTGTGCAGGAGCGCGTCCATGAACTTGACATCCTGGCCATCATAGCTCCAGTCGCCGGTTCCCTGCGGGTTCACGCGCTCCCGATTCACGCCGGGCGTTAGGTGCGGATTTACGCCGCTTTTTTGTTGGTGTTCAAGCATTGCGTGAGCAGGGATGTGGTAGAATGCTAGCGAAGGGATGACTTTCCCATACTCCTTTTTCAGTTTGGAATTGGTTTTGGTGAACCAGTCAACAACCTTGAATGCAGTTAGTTAGTGGTTTCTTCAAAAAAAATGTATAGTTAGCATGACCCAAGGGGTTTTCCTACCGATCCATCAATCCAACTAGGTCTCTTAACAGCAGGCCCGCCCTCTCCTTGCTTTTTATAATAATGCCCACCCTTTGAATCGAAAAACCACAGTAGCAGCGCCGGCGTGCTCGTATTCGCCTGTCCATGTGAAAACACCGGCAGGTAATAATTTGTTATTCCGGCTTTATCGCCGGAGACCCTACTCTGCGTCAAGCTGTTGGGATACTTGCGCTCGGCCTTGAACATGTCATCTTTCGGGTTGAGATTAATCTCACTGTCGTGGTTGCCGTAGGTTGATGCCCAGCTGTACCCCTGGTCGACGAGCGGGGAAACGACCGAGTCAATATGTTTGCTCGAATCGGCCTTTTGCGTTCTTTCGCCAGAGACTAGGTCGCCGTTTATGACTACGAAGTCGATATCCTCCTCCGAGAGGATGTATGACATCACTTCTTTAGACTTTTTGTCTTTCTCTTCGTCTGTAAGGGCTTAGCAAGAGACCCTCGATAGGTTATCACGACATACCCTCGGCAAAATGCAAATCCTCAAAGACTGTAATGTGAAATGTCCCATCTTCTCTAAATCGCAGGGTTCGATCCTTGGGGGGTCTGAGGACGATTTGGTCCGACGCTCTGAGGTCCGGCCGAGGTACCATATTGGATGTTGAAACAAAAGTTAATGGAGTGCGGGGAGATGGGCTTTTGTAAGGTTTAGAGACATTCACGTGCTGAGTGTCTCTCAGTCCATCACGTCAGGAGTTTCGTGCCAAGACATTCTATATTAATTCGGTCATGTGGCTCCTGGACATTCTATGATCGTCTAGCTATAGAACTGAGAAGGGGAGAAAATGTCTAAAGGACATATAAGGAGGCTACCAAACAGACTTAAATTGTTGACAAGGCGTACTATTCTTGTACACTTTGACACCGTAACATATGGATTTAGCTGGGCCACAATTTCTCCGTTACGGAACATAGTCCATAGTTTACCAGTGGATGGCTCCGGTAGAGGTAAGCCTAGACAAGACGACAAAATATACACACGTAAAGGGGAAACCATAGCGCCAAAAGAATAAAGTCAAAGTTCAATTTGGTATCCCTGGAAATAATCAAACGGCTCCGCTGACCGAAAAAGAAAACAAAGAAAGAACGAAAACCCGACCTAGGTACCGACCTAGGACGTATCCCCTGTCGGCGAGCTGAGGTACCACTCTGCAAGATTCTTGAACGCGACCGAGGTTTCCTCGGGGAAATTGTAGAGTCTAGTAGTACGTAGGACGAGGGCTTGACCATTAAAGTAGGCCTCAAAAGCGCGGGCGCGTTTACCCATGAATGAGATTAGAAAGGCCTATATATAGAGTACCCTGTAAGTGAGTATAGTGGAAAGTGGAATAAAACACGGAGTATTACTGGTGCTTTCATATGCTGAAGGAATCGTGCCTTCTTCAGCTGGCCCAGCATTAGACGTAGAATAGCCAGGAGCTCCCACGAAGAATTTCCTTATCGTTCGTGTCCAAGTTATTATAATACACGCCTCGGTGTGTGGAAACCCTTTTCCAGGAACGTCTGTCATCCTGAAAGTTCCAAATTCAGGCTATGCTGATACAAATCCTTATAAGGAGCGTATTCGCCAACACTATCCCACGTTATTAGTAATAGCCGGAAAGCTTAGGGTAGTGATAATCTCACTCTTTCGAGGAGCACAAGATCTCCCCTGGGTTACCTCTCACTTCGTACGGAATTTAATACGACCAGCGGCCTGCAACCTGGCGTTCCCTATCGGCAGGGCGCGTAAAACAGGTATCCTCACGTTCCAGACTTGAGTGGACTTGGATAAGAATGCTATTATCGGGCTCCGGGAGGCTGGAGTATGGCGCGAAGAAGGAAGGCTTGCGGTCTGAATCTTTATCAAGGGTCATGCACTGTAAATCGATCTTCAATCCCTTGAGTTTCGACTTGTCAAGTGCATGCTCTCGACGTTAATAGCGCGCTCCAGCTGTAGCAAGGCTCAACGGTGAGCGAGATGCTCGGGCGATTCAGTAGGCTTGTGCATTTGCTGTGTTTACTTGAACAAAGGCGAGGGATGGTAGGAATGGTATGGATCGGATAGACGGAGGAAGTCGGAGGGAGCTGGAGGGACTTCGTAGATTTAAATGCAGCACCGTAAGCGTCTTCTATCGTCACTAGCCGTGTTTGCACCAAAAGAAGGATCTCTCTGTACATGTAGTGAGCAATGTGGGGCGAAGTGCAGGCGGCTATTATTTTTTAGCGTCCAATGACTAACCCTAAGAAGCCCCCGGGGCAAGTGGGCAGTGTTAGTCTGATCTTTCGAATTCAGACATTGGAGACACATCTCTCTCGGTTTATGATTCCCCTAAAAGCCACAAATCTTGATTCTTAGTCTTGTTTCCGCCAACAGACTTCCAAAGTTGATTTTGTATAGTGTTTCCGTTGACTTCCAACAGTACCAGGGTGCTCCAGTAGCCATGAGTGATTATAAGGGCTTCTCCAGTATATTTCGTGTAATAATACTCCGCTTGTATGTGATGGCGAGCTCAACAGTTCGATCTTCTCCCGGTCTCATGTCTTGGGCTTGTGCCGTTGACCCTACGTTGTACGCTTCATTCCCGCCCAGGTGCTTTGCAGTGGCAATCCAACCAAGGTGCCTATGCGATCCTCCCTCCGTGCAAAAAAGCCTTGGAATGGGCCTACCTGTGGGCTTTTGATTGGATACAAACGGTAGAAGCGCTTTTATCCTTGTATCTGGTGTAGCGCTGTGCGATATAAGTAGCTTTCTTCGGTGAGAGTTGAAAAGCATGCTCACCACAGGCGCCTAATTGAGCTCGCTGTTCCGTCATAGGGAATTTCGAGGCGAGCTCACAGTCCACATATTTCTTGGCCAAGAGCTCCGTGTAAAAGTGTCCCAGTAAGAAGGAAACCCAGCATCGAAACGTCAAAAAGCCATATCACTTCTAAAAAATATCCGATCATGGCCAGTCACTAAGCACCACCCATTAGCCGCCTATGTGTATCATTGACATGTAGAAGAAGAAGTAGTTGATCGGTACTACTCAACCGCTTTGTGTATAACAAGGGCATCGTTATCCGTATCTCGGAGTTATTTGAACCTATCATTACTCAATGCCAGCACTTCGTGTCCCAACCACTCACCAATCTATTTGGAACACCACTTTTTACTTTGATCACTGTATCAGCGCTCTCCGAGACCCTCGCCCGAACCCCAAGGAGTGGAGCTCAAAGATGGCCTCGCGAAACTTGAAGGAGAAAACGATCCATGGCGCAGATCTTGCCTCTGGGCCTAGAATCGGTCTGGATCAATTCCTACTCCTCCGGGTTCTGTGGAAGCCGTATGAAGACCCAGCTGAAGTCCACAAAATGCCGGGAATGAAGGGTGCAAAAGAACGTGCCATGGAATTGCTTCGTGGCTACAAGTCATGGTCCACGTACTGTAACAGCTTTGAGCGCAAGAGTGGTCTCTCTGAAGGAACATTCGAAATTGCTCGCCACTATCAGCGTGAAGCCATGAAAACTCAAAGAGAACGCGGACCCTCGTGTATTTCATACACCTATCGCGGATCGTACTCGCAATAGACAAGCGAAAGGGGAGAAGAGCAACCTTCACTTGGTGAGTCCTACCCACTTTAGCTCGTTTGTCGATTAAGCCAGATGAAGATAAGCCAGATGAAGATGAGTCAGATGAACAGAGCATCGACTACGAGGACGATGACGAAAACGACCCGGAAACCCTTTCAAACCCACCAGTCCAATGCTACGGGAGTTGGAAAAGATTCTATATCCCCCAACAAAAGACGAACAAATCGTGAATACCGCGCTGATAGTATTCCTGAATGCTCTTACAATCCACTTTTCTCTCTCCTTGGACTGGACCTTGCACCGAAAATCATTCACCGCGGCTTTTAAAGATACTGTCTTTCAAGCAAGGATGGACGGATATCTAGATGATTCCCATGGAACGCCTAGTGTTCTTATCGAAGTGAAACTGTTACGCGATCTAGGAAACTGGACCTTATTTAAATGCAGGAGAGCGCCCAAATGGTCGCCTGGATCAAAAGGGATACCAATCAGCCCAAGGACGTCACAAGATGTAAGTTTTGCCATCATTTTCTGTTTTTGCTACAAGCAGCGCTGACATCACCAGGCGTCTTCATATATCTCAAGACCGACATGAGGTATACGTGACAGTAGCTAAATATGATGAGAGATATCTTAATTACCTCGACAACACGCACCCTTCAAGTGAGAACGATAACCGGCCCTTTCTAACCATCCGCCAATATGGACCGTGGAATACATTAGAAAACTCGCACATCCGCGATCTGGGGCTGATCCTTCTAGCAATCAGCTTGCAAGCCGATGACGATCGCAAAGCGAACTTGCCTTGATGGGACTACCTATCCCACAATCTATTCTTTCTTTTTTGTTGATATTTTATTGTTGCATGCTCGTGTCCTATTTATCTGATAAGTTGCTCTTGCATATAATCTGGCTATATATCACTTGCTTGATTTACTTCAACTTACTCTAACTAGTGTTCAACTTTAGTTTCTTGCCTTATACAGCTGAAGAGACAGTTAAGAAGTAGATGAGAGGTAGATGAGTAACCTCGCCCTCACCGAGTGGTGAAGCCAAACCCGGGCGATTCAAGCTACACAATCTCTAGGTGGAAGCACGGGTTGCAGCAAAACACCACACATCACCTTGAACCTGTGGGGAACAAGCAGCCCTATGGGTACACCATGGATAAATACTTGGAGGACGATATCCTAGATGTCGACGCCATAATGGGAATCGAACGGGATGCCCCCGTCCTTTCATCCATCCCACAGAGGGTGTCGACGGAGATACCGGAGGGGACGAACAAGCGAAAGAGAGGAGCAGGGAAGCCAATGAGTTTAGGCCAACAAGGCCAAGAAAAGGGAGCAGAAAGCCCGAGCTCAAGGCTAAGCGCATGGAGAGATACTGGGAGAAGAAGGATACCGCGACTGAGGAGGAGAAGGAGGAGGTTTGTTCCTATACAGATGGATCTTACAATTGAAGTACTAACCTTGGAATTGCGTAATTAAGCCCAAAAGTGGCACAACTACACCGTGAGAAAGAGGAAGGACGCCCGCCATTTGGAGGTCTACGGGACTCCCTGTAGACAACAACTGCCACCAACTGAGTTGGTCCTTGCCCAGCTGGCGAAAGACCAGGCAAAGCAAGAGGCGGATCCCCATAGCAATGTTCGTGCTAGCCATGCCATTAAGGTTCCTCAGGCCAAGCGGAGGCTAGATAAACGTCGTTGTGCCACATATGGGCACACAAGGGCAGAGATTGAGGAGGCCTGGCTGGGCCTATAGGAACGTCAAATCGCCAGATTTGACTGGCAGCTATCAGTTAGGCAATCCGACATCTTGCATATCCCCACGGCAGAGCAGAGGAAAGCCGCGGATGCGTGGATTGCTAACGGTCGCCGAGAGACCCCGACTGTGGACGTCCCTGGATGGGACGAGTTGGGCTCAGAGGCCACATGACCTCTGCCATCTAGTCCTAGATCCCTCAGGCAGTTTGCTCTTCTTTTGATGCACTTGGAATATCTTCCAGACCACTCTGTTGATTATAGTAATTCTAGATCTAAGCGCATTTGATACAAAAGGTATATGTGCGAGCTTCAACCAGAGCGGGCGCGCCACCCAATGTGAGAAGCGAGGGACCGGTTAGCCTATTCAATACGTGAAAATTGTGTATAAAAAGAGCACTATACCTGATTTTCGTAGAGATTCTCGGAGAAATTTGCCAACGAGTGAAGAGGCTTGGAAGACCCCAAACATCCCTGTCTCGCTAATATATGAGTCATTTTTGTGCAGCTTTCCTCTTATTAAAGACAGTGGCCCCAAATGTTGAGCCTCCGCCCATTCACTACTTGCATATAACTCGACATTAAACATGGTTGATGCGCTGACCGGATATACCCACTCAGCCGCCTTTGATATAGGGAAATTGCCCGTGAGCGATATCCACACTCTGCATTACGAGCAGTACGGCAAACAAGATGGGAAGCCAGGTAAGATACCTTTGTTAAAACGCACGACTGGGCCCACTCATAACTACTCCATTATTATTAACTACAGTTATACACGTCGAAAGATTTGAGCAGCAAATATACTAACGCCACTAGTCCTCTACCTCCACGGCGGACCCGGCGGGCATACCTCATATGGCAACACCAAATACTTCAATCCATCCATTTACCGCGTGGTACTGTTTGACCAACGTGGTGCCGGGGGATCAACGCCCGTAGCAGAACTCCGCGAGAACACAAGTCAGCACCTAGTCTCCGACATTGAAGTGCTACGAAAACACCTCCAAATCACGAAATGGCACCTCGTCTTCGGTGGTTCGTGGGGATCGACCCTATCCTTGCTCTATGCACAAGCCTACCCGGAGATGGTAGGCTCCTTGATACTAAGGGGAATATTCACTATCAGGAAATCTGAACTGGAGTTCTCGCGTGGGTCAACTGGTGCAGCAGACATCTTCCCCGAAGCCTACGAAGCATTTCTCAATTATCTCCCCGAAAAGGATCGGGCGAGACCAAACGAGGCTTACTATGATCTCCTTGTTTCGGAGGATTATGAGACAAGGGTTGCTGCAGCGAGGGAGTGGAATAGGTGGGATCTGAGTATTGGGACTTTGAGACCAGAGCCCGAGGCTTTCGTTCAACTGAAAGATGATGCGTGGTTGCTTGCTCATGCGAGACTCGAGGCGCATTACTTCGTGAATGGGGGGTTCCTAGAAGAAGGTCAGATTCTCAAAAAGGAGAATTTGAGGAGAATTAGCCATATTCCGAGTAAGTCACTTGCTACTGCTGGTCGAGGCATACTGTGCTTTGGGTGCAGCTAACGCACTTTTGTTATAGCCACTATTATCCAGGGTCGCTATGATATTGTCTGCCCACCGCGGACAGCCTGGGATCTGCACAAGGGCTTGCCGGACTCACGATTGTTTTGGACTCCGGATGCCGGCCATAGTCCTAGTGTGAGTACACCATCTATCTGCCTTCGATTGACCTGGTTTCTGAGACATGGCCATGCTAACTTCTTTCTAGGAACCTGGAACGCAGGCCAAACTGTTCGAGGTCTGTGACGAGTACGCCGAGGTTGACTTTACTCAATGAAATTGATTGGATAATTGATTATATCCCCCGTTTTTGTCCATACGATCATTCTCATCGCAGTTCCCCCATAATATAAAAAGCTAGTTTCCTATCTCGGAGTGAGAACGACCTTGTAAGATTATCGTATATTGGAACCAAACCAAATTGGTAAGTTCAGATCTCAGCTCTTACAGCTTAGTTTAATATGCGCCACTGATGAACTGGCAGAGAAACCATTTTGTCTCTCCAAAAAACACGAAAATTATAAGAAACACAAAATATTGTAAATTGTAATATTGACAACTGATTCTACACGATGATAGAGAACAGTAGGTCAAATTCGACTGAGCGAATTTGACCAAGCAAGGTTGTAGAGCTTGCTGTGTGTGGAAAACCACATAATGTTGAAATGGTAAGACCAGCACCAACCAAACATCATAACGGAAGTAGGCCATGATGTCGGCTAGCGCCAGTTATAAATCGTCAGTCATGTTGAAACTCCAGGCCCGCTTTTGGTATCCTCTAGAAAACCCGTTGAAACCCATATGTTGAACTTTTGGTATCATCGTCGTAACTCATCAATAAAGAAAACTCCCCAGTACCGAGGCGACAGGTTGATTGTCGCCTCCTCATTAAATTAATAGTAAATTGAAAGAATTTACTGCGCATACTTCTGGCGGAAGTACTTGGCAGCGTTGACCATCTGTTTATGTGTTTGATCAGCATTTTGAACGTCATTTCCAAGAAAATTGCCACTTCTTACCGCAGTGAGAGCCGCTTTAGTCTCGGGCCAGCCACGAGTCTTGAGTCCACTGTAAAAAGAAGCATATTAGCATCAATAACTAAAAAAAATTAGATTTCGTGACAGGATCACAAACCAATCAGGATTAGCCCAAAGCTGGTTTGGAGTCAGGTATGCCAGCATCTCCTCGATGCGGTCCTTGATCTCCTGCTCGGTGGGGACACGAGGGGAGTGAATATCGTAAACACCGGGGCCAATATGGCGAGGGTAGGCCTCGTCGATGAAGACCTTGAGGAGCTTAGCATCGGACTTGCTGTTCTCAATAGACAGAACATCGGCATCGAGAGCGGCGATGGCGTGGAAGAAGTCCTGGAACTCAGAGTAACAGAAGTGGGAGTGGATCTGAGTGCCATCGGCGACACCAGCGGTGGAGAGCTTGAAGGAGTCAACAGCCCACTTGAGGTAGGCAACACGAGCGTCACCAGTGCGGAGGGGAAGGCCCTCACGGAGAGCGGGCTCATCGACCTGGATCACAGCGATGCCAGCGGCCTCGAGGTCAACAACCTCGTCGCGGAGGGCGAGAGCGAGCTGCTGAGCCTGGACGGACTGGTGGACATCGTCACGGGGGAAAGACCACCGTAGGCAAGTGATAGGACCAGTGAGCATGCCCTTCATGGGCTTAGGGGAGATAGAAGCAGCGTACTTGGACTCCTTGACGGTCATAGGGGCGGGACGAGAGATGTCACCGACAATGATAGGAGGACGCACGCAGCGGGAGCCGTAGGACTGAACCCAGGCGTGGGTGGTGAAAACGTAACCAGTGAGGCGCTCACCGAAGTACTGCACCATGTCGTTACGCTCGGGCTCACCGTGGACGAAGACATCGAGATCGAGCTCCTGCTGGATCTTGACGACATCCTCAATCTCCTTCTCGATGAACTTCTCGTACTCCTCAGGGGTAATCTCACCCTTGGTGAACTTGTTACGCTGGATACGGATCTCCTTGGTCTGTGGGAAGGAACCGATGGTGGTGGTGGGGAAAAGAGGGAGCTTCAGGGTCTTGGTCTGCTCGGCGTAACGCTCAGGGAAGGCGGACTTGCGGTTGTGCATCTCAGGGGTGACAGCAGCCTGGCGGGCCTTGACAGCGGGGTCGTTGGTGCGGGCAGAGGAGGCACGGGCCTGGACAGACTTGGCGTTGGCCTCGAGCTGCTCACGAACGGCGGCGGGGCCCTCGGTGACAGCCTTGGCGATCACGACAACCTCAGCGGCCTTCTCAACAGCGAAGGAGAACCAGTCGCGGACCTCAGCATCAAGGGTCTTCTCGCTGGCGAGAGTGTGGGGGACGTGAAGGAGGGAGCTGGAGGTGGCAACAATGACACGGTCCTTGCCGAGCTTCTGGATAGCGTTCTCGACCTTCTCAATGGCGGCTTTGAAGTTGGTCTTCCAGATGTTACGGCCGTCGACAACACCGGCGGAGAGAACCTGCTTAGGGCCGAGAGCGGCGATGACGGTATCGAGCTGCTCGGGGTTGCGGACCAGGTCGATGTGAATAGAGTGGAGGTTCTGAAGGTCGCCGAGGACATTAATGTTGTGGACGATGTCACCGAAGTAGGTGGCGAGAGTGATGCGGGGACCCTGGGCACCGAGGGCACCGAGCTTCTCATAGGCGGGCTTGAAGGCGGCCTTGGACTTCTCAGCAAGGTCGAAGACGAGGACGGGCTCGTCAATCTGGACATCCTCGGCGCCAGCGGCCTTGAGCTTGGACAGAAGCTCAACGTAGAGAGGAAGGAGCTTCTCAAGCAGAGTGATGGGGTCAACTGTCTGGTCACGGTCGGCCTTGCCGAGAGTCAAGAAGGAGACGGGACCGAGGATCACGGGGCGGGTGGTGATGCCAGCGGCCTTGGCCTCAAGGAACTCAACAACGGGCTTGGGCTCGGCAGCGAGCTTGAACTCCTGGTTGTCCTGGAGAGTGGGTTTCACGTAGTGGTAGTTAGAGTCGAACCACTTGACCATTTCCTGTTGATTGAGTCAGCATGCTGAATTCGAACACGTATATTGTAATGATTTGCACATACCAGACTGGGAACATCAATGCCCTCCTTCTGGAGACCACGGCCCATGGCGAAGTACTCATCGAGGGGGTTGAGGTTGTACTTGGAGTAACGCTCGGGGATGGTTCCGAAAAGCTGGTGGTGGTCGAGAACCTGATCGTAGAAGGCGAAGTCATTGCTGGGAATAACATCGACACCAGCATTCTTCTGGATCTGCCAGTGCTCCAGACGAAGACGCTTGCCCTCAGCGAGGAGCTCATCACGGGAGATCTTGTCAGCCCAGTAAGCCTCGGTGGCCTTCTTGAGGTCACGGAGTCTTCCCATGCGGGGGAAACCCAGAATAGATCTATCCAGATAGTCAGCAACGGTCTGGGTAACTGTTCACAAGAGAGTGGAGAAGACATACGATTGAACCATTCTGAGGGATGTGTGTGAAAAGGGGAAAGAAGAAAGAGGTCTCAAGGATAGAATTTTCACAAATCCGATGCCTTTGAGAGAGTGTGTGAGGGAAGAAAAGGGAAAAGGCGTGGAAAACGTTGAAATATGGAGGGGGAGGGAATACACACTAACCCCAATGGGGGATTGATCCACATGCAAGTTGGAGGGGCATCAATACGGTATTATACATGGACCAGTACCTCCGTGTACCCTTGTGTACCTGAGATCCACGGATTTTGGGTGGGATACTGCGTAAATTTACTGTTATTTTCAGTCCTCTCCCAGTATCAATACCCCATGATCTCCGTGATCGGTCCGCCTATGGATGATCACGCCATTGAGACACCCGATAAGGCCTCTGCGAGCTGTTTACGACTATTGCCAATTAGTATTCTTTCCTTCTTTTTTTTCAGTAAGGGCCTTATATATTGTATGTCGTAGACATAAATTTGGATTTCTCACGATTAATGAGCGGTCAAGACGACCAAGCACATATCACAAAATGCAGAACCCCAAGGAGTACGGGCGACCGCTGTGTGACACGCTGTCAATTGACCCCGCCACTTCACCTACAGGACAAGCTGACATTAATTGATACTGCATATGTAGCGATGAAGTGATAGCTTCGCTCCTCCCACACGGAGTAATATTTTCTAGTCAATTCTTCATAATTCCCTCAATCTTCCTTTTAAAAGAATAATAATGACTCAGAACCCCCCCAAACGAACCCCGGTGTCGGGGTCCATTCAAGCAATTGATGGGCCCACGTGATATCATGATAGGAAAAAGTTGAGCATAGCGTTTTTCTTTCCCTTTCGGGAAGGAAAGAAAGCCATTGTCAAGTGCCAAGCCTCTCAAAAGACAGAGGGAAAAAGAGCAGACATAATGACCTTCCTTGACATCGCTGCCCTTGATGCAATCAACTCCCCGCAAAATGTCCGGAATAACGAACATCAGGCCCAGAACTCCGATGGAGTTTCCATGACTAATGAAGATGATTGTGACCTTCGAAAGCTTGGCTATCGCTCTGTCTTGGTCCGAGGCTAGGGCTCGTTCAACAATTTTGCCTGCTCCTTCTCGGCCTTGAATTGCGTTTGAGGAATCCGTGTGCTTTTCTATATCGCCCTGGAAGCCTCCGTCCGTCTGCCATGCATGTTCTACGTTTGCGGTCGCAGGGTTAGTTTACTACTAGATTTTTCGATCTTAGGGAGGCAGTAAAGTCGGCTGGTTCATTTCGTTCCTCGGTTCCGCATGGCCATTGGTTGCATGGAGCGCCTTCCTCGCAAGTGATTCGTTCGGTGTCACCAACTACCTGATTTCGGAGATCATCGTGTTCAACTCGAAGAGGAGCTTCCTATATGAAATTGCCGACGTCCGAGCCTGCGCTATGGCATGCGTTATCTAGCTTTTTTTCCTGGCCGTCCCTACCGCTGAATTCCCTGCCCCGGCGCATGTATTCCCGTGTGTGTGACGGCCATTATCATCGATATGCTGCTCAAATACATTCTCGCGGCCCTACATTTGCCTTGCATTGCGTGGCAGTGGAAAGAAACCTGTTCTCGGCCCTGGGCCGTCGAGAAGTACCAATTGCTTGTCGGGGTTGCTTCGGTGCGCGAATTGTCAGAAGAGGGGCATAGTAAGCAGCAGGCACCCTGCGACTTATATGCTGATCTCAATAAATCAGCCCTTGCTGGACTCTTTCTGGGTATTTTCCAAAGTTCTTCCGCTATCCATCACACGATTCCCAGTACAAAACGGACACTTCGAGTCACCAACCAACCAACTTCATT